AACGTTGTTGCGCAAAATAGGCTGCCACATTCGCGCACAAAATATACAGTTACTACACTTTACAGTGTATCGTATGAAGTGCTTTGAGATGCCCACCTTAGGTGAAAGGTGCTGTATCAAATGTAAGGATTATTATTATTATCAATACTATTATTGGAAAACACTAACGTAATTAAACAATTATAAATTAAAGGGGCACCATGTTCACAGAAACATGATGAGTTACTCTCGAGGGTATACAATTAAAATCAACTTAAAAAAAACATAACGCGATAGATTTAGGTGTAAATTTAGGATTATCATCAGAGCAAAAGGAGGAGAAGGTGTGAAGATATTTTTGTTAGACACACAGGGTTGCTAAACTGTGGATTGCTTTACCATAATTGCTGCTGAGGCTTTTTTAATCTATCTCTGGAATTTTCACGTGTAGGTGGGCTGCATGGAATTCTCAGTTTGGTTTGGAGCCTGGTGATGGTTGACCCCCAAAAAATGGAGACTTTATCATAATGCTTAAAAGGGAATTGGATAAATACCAGTGGGGGAGCGAGCACTAGCACAGACATGATGAGGAGAGAGCAGAGGAATGGGATTAGAGTAGGGAGCTCCAGTGGGAGAGTGACCACAAGCAACAGCAACAAATTAGATTTGTGTAACTAACGCCTTTCACTTCAGGAGGACGCCCGAAGACACTGAACACGGAAACAAAGGGAGAGAGAGCATGTGAATAGCCTTACACTGTGCTGTAAACAGACTGCACATGAAGAACAATGGAAGTAGTAAAGGTGACTTTGAGTGGCAGGTTGGCAAGGCCCATGTAATTTACGGCACTTTACTAGGAATGGGCGTGCTCCAATCTTGTTGCCGGGAGGGGAAAAGTACCTGTGATCTCTTTTTGAGCGCTCGTGCCCCAGTGAAACATTCTCCCACCGTCACAGCTAATTTGCTACATTTTGACAATCCCAAGTATCACCAGCCAACGCCCGCCTGCCAGCCAGTTGGGATTTGTTTGAATCTATGCAACCAGTTTTTCATCATGTACAAAAATAACAACAGTCCCCACATTCGCTACAGAGCCAAGAACCTCAAAACAGCTTTGCGGAGACTTGCTTATCAAGTTAGTGATGTGTGTTTTGTAGCAATATAGGAACAGGAGGAGGCCATTCAGCCTCTCAAACCTGTTCCGCCATTCTATAGATCATGGCTGATCTGTACCTCAACTCCATTTTCATTTGCTTCATATAATAAAAACACGTGCATTTGATATAGCACCTTATCACATCGTTGGGATGTCTCCAAGCGGTTCACAGAGTTTATTGTAAAGTGGATTGACTGTATTTTGTGGGCGAAATGCAGAAGCCAATTGTGCAAACAAAAATAATTTTGGTTACTCAATCCCTGACTGTTTATGGGACACTGCTGTGCGCAATTGGCTTCCGTGTTTCGCCCACAAAATACACAGTCAATTCACTTTATGATACATTCTGTGAAGCGCTATGATTCGTCTCAACAATGCAATAAAGCACTGTATCAAATGCAAGAATTATTATTATGTAAATAGGAACAATCTGATCATTGGTAGCTTTGAAGTGGATTAGCTGTGTAGCCTTGGCAATCTCTCAATGTATCAACGCTCAAACTCATTGCATATGATAGATATTTGCCTTGATGCACAGTGCAGCTGACGCCATCTGATTGCCTATAAATGACATTACTTTTTTGCAGCCTATTGTATATTCCTGCTCTCACACTGCTTCCCCAGTCCACACTGCTTGACAGTCTGATGATTTAATTCCCAGACCTTGTTCTGTGTCATGCAAACCTGACGTTAATGCATAACAGTTTGTTGTCAGTAGTGCTTCAGTAGTGGCTGTGGACAGGCCACCTCAGCCCCGTCCACAGCCACCCCTCATGACCCACACCCTACCCATCCCCCCTATACTCCTTCGACCCTATCTCTCCCTCCTCCCTTACCACGACTGTCCGCAAGCTCAAACCCACCACCTGCTCCCTCGATCCCATCCCCACTTTTCTCCTCATTTCCCAGCTCCATCTTCTGGCCCCATCTCTTGCCCGATGTCATCAACCTCTCCCTGTCCACCGGTTCAGTTCCCACCCCCCTAAAAACGGCCGTCATCACCCCCATCTTGAAACAACTTTCCCTGGATCCATCCCTCCTCTCCAGCTACCGCCCCATCTCTAACCTCCCATTCCTCTTCAAGGTCCTGGAACGAGTCATCGCGCTCCTTTCTTTCTCGCCATTCCCTCTTTGAACCCCTTCAATCCGGCTTCTGCACTGCCCACAGCACGGAAACAGTCCTGGTCAAAGTCACTCATGACATTCTGAACATCTGTGATCAGGGCTCCCTCTGCCTCCTTGTCCTCCTCGACCTCTCTGCCGCCTTCGACACTGTCGAACACTCCATCCTCATACACCACCTCTCCGCTTTACTCAATCTTCACGGACCTGCCCTTGCCTGGTTCGATTCCTATCTCTCTCACCGTCCCCTCTAACATTTTCTCCTCCAGCCCCCGCACTGTCACGTCTGGTGTCCCTCAGGGCTCTGTCCTTGGCCCTCTCCTCTTTAATATCTACATGCTCCCCCTTGGTGACATCATCCGCAGACATGGGGTCAACTTCCACATGTATGCGGATGACACCCAACTCTATCTTTCTGCTTCCACCCTCAACTCCAGGACCACTGCTGTCCTGACAGACTGTCTGTCGGACATCAAGTCCTGGATGAGGGCAAACTTCCTACAGTTGAATGTGAACAAGACTGAGGCCCTCCTGATTGGCTCACACCAGCGCCTCAGCACCTCAGGCTCCGGCAGCATCAACCTCCATGGTTGCACACTTCAACTCACCGCCAGTCAGGAACCTCGGTGTCTTGTTCGACCCTCAACTGTCTTTTCTCCCCCACATTCAAGCCATGACCCGCTCTGCCTTCCCTCACCTCCGTAACATCGCCCGACTCTGCCACTACCTCACCCCTCAGGCCACTGAAACTCTTGTTCATGCCTTCATCACCTCCAGGATTGACTATGCAAATGTCCTGATTGTTGGCCTTCCCAACTTCTCCCTCCACAGGCTGCAGATAATCCAGAACTTTGCATCCCGTGTCCTCTCCCGCACCAAATTCCATGACCCCATCTCCCCCACTCTCGCCCGACTCCATTGGCTCCCTATCCTTCAGAGGATCCAGTTCAAGATCCTGGTCCTCACATACAAAGCCCTCCATGGCTTTGCCCCACCCTATCTCTGCGACCTCCTAACCCGTACCAACCCACCCGTTCCCTCCGCTCAGCCGGCTCCGGCCTGCTCCACGTCCCCCGACCGACCCGCCCTACCATTGGTGGGAGAGCCTTCAGCCACTCTACCCCCAACCTCTGGAATTCCATCCCCCAATCACTCCGCCTCGCACCCTCCTTAGCCTCCTTCAAGTCCCACCTCAAGACCCATCGGCCAACCCCTTCCCCTCCCCTCCCTTCTCCCCCCAACCCCAGCTCGGGTCTGAAATGCTGTGCACTGTCCAGCGCCTTGGGACGTCCTCCCAATGTGAAAGGCACTATACAAATGTAATCTTGTTGTTGTTGTTGTTGCTTGGCACAGTGTGTGAGAATACTGGAGTTAGCTTTAAATGTGTCTATATCTGAAGAGAGCCATCAGAATGAGAACGTATGAGTCAGCCTGATTCGGTTGACAACAAGAATTTGCAATTGCACAGCGCCATCCACATGGGGCAATGTCTCGGAGAACTTCACAGTGGGGGGAGCCTGACGCCGAACTGGGGGGAGGGAGGACATGACTGTAAGCAGGGTCGAGGCGGAAGGTTTTTAGTCATGATCTAAAAGAGGGGAAGGAGAGGGCAAGGCGGCAGGATTGGGAAGAGAGGTCCAAAGCTTCAGGGTGTAATGGCTGAAAACACACCCAACGATGGTGGAAAGGAGGGGACAAGAGGCAAGCAGGAGGCTAGAGCTGAGCAGAGGCAGCAGGTAGTGAAATGAGGAGTAAGTCGATTGGAGATGCAGGGAGGTGCCAGGGCATGGAGAGGATCCTGAAGTCGACCCGTTCTGTGATAGAGAGCCATTGAATCCTAGCGAGGACTGGTGTGATGGGGTACAGTGTTTAGTGCTGGTGAGTAAGTGGGCGGTGGAGTTCTGAATCATTTGTGTGTCGGTAGTGGAGATGCTTAGACCGGCGAGGAGGGCACTGGAATAGTCGAGGCAGTCTGTAGTGCTCTTGCCTCTATTGTCGAAAGATGGTGGGTTCACACCCCGTGTCGGGATCTTTGAGCTCAGAGTTGAGGCTGACACTCCAGTGCAGTGCTGCATTGTCAGAGACTCCGTCATTTCAGAAGAGACATTAAACAGAGGTGCCCTCAGAAGAAATTGGTCATTCACCTCAGGACTTTGTAGGACTTTGCGATACGCAAAAGAGTCACTTTGTAGGCGAAAGCAGAGGCCAGTTTGCTCACAATGACGTCCCAGCAAACAGGCTTGAGGTGGAGTCCCGTAGCAAGGTGGTCAGAGCACTCACCTCGCAAGCAGGAAGACCCAGCTTCAATTCCTTTAGGCAAATCTTAGGCAAGTTTCCTTACTCCACATACCTCTGTTTAGCTAGAAGGAACCCGTTTGCTCGTCAATTGGCGGATCGCTTTCCGGGAGTAATAATGCTCTGGGATGCTACCCTGTGTGAGGAGTGCTATAAAATGCAATTTGTTGCTAGGTAAACAGAGTAAGGAATAAGGAAATTTATTTAAGGTTTCACACCACTCAGGAATGAAATCTGTGTCCTCTCGCTTGCAAGGCAAGCTTGCTAACCACTAAAACTATGAGACTCTACAGTACATCACATTTATTTTACTGTAAATCCTGTGAAGCGCTTTGAGACGTCCTCCTGACTTCAATTGTAAGGATTATGATTATTCTTGTTATGGTCATCGCTCCTGCTTTCCTGTCCCTGTCGCTATCACTCTCTCTTTCTCACTCTCTCTCTCCAGCCGCCCTCTCCCCCTTCGCTGCTGCCCGCCGGATCGGGCACCCCTACCAGAACCGCACGCCGCCCAAACGAAAGAAACCGCGTACTTCCTTCAGCCGAATGCAGATCTGCGAACTGGAGAAGAGGTTCCACAGGCAGAAGTACCTGGCGTCAGCTGAGAGAGCCACGCTGGCCAAAGCCCTGAAGATGACAGACGCTCAGGTCAAAACCTGGTTCCAGAACAGGAGGACCAAGTGGAGGTAAGAAAGCCCCATGCTTGCCTTGTTGCTCAGAATCCCAAAGCTCCTCCTCAACAACATCATCAACTTGCATCTCGCCCTTCACTGGGTTATTGTTGTTTAGGTGTTCCTATGTTCTCTATGTCCTTTGTTCCTTGTGTAACCTATATTCCCAGATTGCTAAATTTCTATGTTCACTATGTTTCCATTGCTTGTTGGGTTCCCGTGTTCACTATATTGCTGTGTACCTGTATCTCCTGTGTTGCTATGCAACATTGCAGCTCCAGAGCTCTGTGTTTGCCGGGCTGCAGACACCTCCCACATCAGTCTCTGCCGGCGTCTCCGACTCATATCAACAGTGATATCGCGTGCGGAGGAAATAACAATTACCAGATTACTTACAAATTGCAGCCTAGGTACAAATGTGTCAGGGGACAAGAGGAGAGGCGGCCTGTCCAAACATGTGGGGAAACAGCAGGAAAATAACTCAACAATGTAGCGCAGACAGACAGCATATGACAGCAACATTCATTCAACATTGTGGAGTCCTGTAGCTCAGTGGTTAGAGCACTTGCTTTGCAAGCGAGAGACCTGAGTTCAATTCCAGGCAGGGAGAAACCTTGGGCAAGTTTCCTTACTCCACACGCCTAATAGTAATCCCTCCAAAACCAAAAACAATAATAAAATTGGTCACTTTTAATCTACGACTGTTTGTGGGACATTGCTGTGCGCAATTGGCTGCCGCGTTCGCCCACAAATATACAGTCAATTCACTTTACAGTGTGTTCTGTGAAGCGCTTTGGGACGTCCTCCTGACGTGAAAAGCGCTATATCAAATGCAAGGATTATTATTATTATTATAGGAACATAGGAACGGGAGGTGGCCATTCAACCCCTTGAGCCTATTCCGTTATTCTATTAGATCATGGCTGATCTGTACCTCAACTCCAATTCACAATTTGCCCATAAAATATACAGTCAATTCACTTTACAGTATATTCTGTGAAGCGCTTTGAGACGTCTCGAAGGTGTGATGAGGCGCTATATCTAAAGAAAGGATTATTATTATTATTTGAATCCAACTTAATAATAATCCTTGCATTTGATATAGTTATTATGTCGTTGAGATGTCACAAAGCGCATCACAGAAAATATTGTAAAGTGAATTGACCAGTCACTGGGGGAGGGAGTCATCCCACTCAGCTCTTGTTAACCTTGCAAGGATAAGTCAGAATGGGTAGGGTGGTCCTAGCTGACAAACAGCGAGAAAGCTTGCCAGACATTTCTATCAATGGCAAGCTATGTAGTTTTAGCTGGTTAGACTCCAGCAGTTATCCCAGCACGCTCTCTGGGGTCCCCAAGCCTTGGCTCCTGCCAACCTTCACCTAATATTTTCAAATTAGCAAATGTGTCCCTCCACAGAGAGAGTGGACATTCCATTCCAATAAATATCTCTGGAATTTCCATGTATAGATGGGGTGCATGAAATTCTCAGTTAGGTTTGAAGACACTTGAACATGGCGATAGTTTTCCGCATGTGTCAAACCCTGGGCTTAATTTAGTTTACTAAGATGCTGTCTCTTTGTCTTTCTAAAGGAGGCAAACAGCGGAGGAGAGGGAGGCTGAAAGACAACAAGCAAACAGGATATTGGCTCAACTACAACAGGAAGCATTTCAGAAATCGCTGAACCAGCCCATTCAGGCAGATCCTGTGTGTCTGCACAATGCTTCTCTCTTCGCTCTTCAGAACTTACAACCTTGGGCTGAAGACAGCACCAAAATCACATCAGTGGCCTCAGTAGCATCAGTGGTGTGAGAAACTCAAAGACATATTACCTTCCCACTTTTTTTCAGGTTTTTCTCCCCACCACACACCACTCCTTGCTCGTTCCCAAAACAATCCCCCAAAGACTTTGAACCTTCTTACCAAAATATCCTGCACATTACTCTATATCGATCGGGAGAATTGTGTGCTTTTTTTATTGGAAAAAATATTATGAGAAAAGTGAACGGTGCAAAAAAATAATTTTACTTGTTAAAGGGTCATTGCAATGCAAAAAAATAAACGCTTCAATAAAAATAGCCATGGATTTCAAAACGTCACGGTTAGGAAGATGGATGGACGGACGGACACATGCTAGAGAGGGAACATCCATTGCACTTATGTTTGACCGGGATGGCTCCGGGTAAAGCCAGAGGTGGAGGAATGATCTATGAACAAGTCAATGGGATGAAGGTTGTTCCATTGGAATTATATGAAGTGGGAGTCAATGTGTTTATTCCATTGGGATTCCAGACAATAATAATAATAATCCTTGCATTTGATGGATGGGAAGGGCCTTGGTTGATTGGAATATTTACAATTGAAGTCAACCAAGTAAATAATCTAATCGACCAAGCTCCTTCCCATCCATCAAATGCAAGGATTATGAAAGGGATGTAGGTTGTTCCATTGGGATTGTGTACAATGGGAGTGAATGGGAAGGTGGAGGCATTGTCTATTTGAATGTTGTACTCTATACATTGTCCATCCTCTCATAATCTTTCAGAAATTTAAATAATGTTCCTTGCATTGATAAAATGCCTTATCACGTTTCAAAGTGCTTCACAGAATATACAGAATATACAGAATTGACTGCATATTTTGTGGGCGAAACGTGGCAGCCAATTGCACACAGCAGTGTCCCACAAACAGTCGTGGATTGAGTGACCAAATTATTATAATTTTTATTTATCCCTCCCAAATAAAGTCCTATAGCTCAGTGGTGTGGAGTCCTGTAGCTCAGTGGTGAGAGTACTTGCCTTGCAAGCCAGAGACTTGGGTTTGATTCCTGCAGGGCAAAATGTTGGGCAAGTTTCCTTACTCCACATGCCTCTGTTAACAGGTGTGTGGAGTAAAGAAACTTGCCTAGGATTTTGCCCCGCTCAGGAATCGAACCTGGGTCCTCTCACTTGCAAGGTGAGTGTTCTAACCATACAGTAAAGGACTCCACATGACACTAAAGATGCCTATAGGATGCCTCTTTATAAAGTTAGACAGTGAATGATTATTCTTGCTGTTGATGAATCAGGAACAAGAGGACAGTTTTATGAATGTCCCTGGAGGAGTTAAGGGTGAATTTAGAAGAAACATGTTGATGCAGAAAGTTGTTAGAACATTGAATATGTTGCCATAAATGGCTGTTGAAGGTTGAGACTATAACAACACTTTAAAGAGAATTGGAAAAATATTTAGAGATGAAGAATGCAAAAGAAAATGGAAAGAGCAGGAGAGATAGCTTCAGCTATCGACCATCTACCCTCTGGAACTCCCTTCCTCTTGCTGCCTCACTATCTGTCTTCAAATCCTACCTTAATCCTGTTTGTGTGTGTCAGCCTGGCTCAGTGATAGCAATCTCACCTCTGAGTCAGAAGGTTGTGGGTGCATGCCCAACATTGGGATTTGGAATAATTTTGTCTAAGGTAACACTCCAATACAGTGCTGGGTGTGTGTTGCATTGTCGGAGGTGCCGTCCTTCAGATGAGACATCTTGTCTGGCTGCTCAGGTTGACCTTAAAGATCCCATGGCACTGTTTGAAAAGAGAAAGGAGTTTCTCTCTCCTTGTGTGTGGGACACTGCCCTGTTCCACAAAATACACAGTCAATCCACTTTACAATATAAGGCGCTATATCTAATACAAGGATTATTTATATAAACGTGGTCCGGGTGACCCTGAATGTCCTCCCCGCCATACCTGACAGTATCTATCCCGGGATTTACCTTCAGCCAGCTTCACTGACACCAAAACCTTTTGAGTCAGTGCTTGGCCCATTCTGCCACGAGCTGCCAGGAATTTGGTGGAAATGGATCAGTTATTGTGATGTGGGACACTGAGGGCCTCGAAGGATAATCTGTCACAGGAAGGAAATGCAGACTGGAGGCCGGTGGGGGGAGGTAGGAGGTAGTGAGAGGTTTCCAGTCAACCATAAACTATTTGCAACTGAACAAACAAAACAGACGGTGAGGGTTCAGAGACGTGCTGTGGAAATTCCTTTCCTACAAGTCACCTGATAGGCAAGGGAGTGTAAGGAGTGAGGGGAGTGACCAGAGAAATAGGGAGTGATCAGAGAAACGGAGTGACCAGAGGAACCGGGAGCCAGAGAAATAGGATTGACCAGAGAAACATTGTGACCAGAGGAATAGGGAGTGATCAGAGAAACTGAGTGACCAGAGAAACAGTGACTAGAGGAACAAGGAGTGACCAGGGGAACAGGATGTGACCAGGGGAACAGGGAATGACCAGAGAAACAGGGAGTGCCCAGAGAAACAATGATCAGAGAAACGGAGTGACCAGTGAAACAGTGACCAGAGAAAGAGGGAGTGACCAGTGAAATGGAGTGACAAGAGGAAGGGTGACCAGAGAAACAGTGACCAGAGGAACAGAGAGTGACCAGAGCAATAGGGAGCGACCAGAAATACAGGGAGTGACCAGAGGAACAAGAAGTGACCAGAGGAACAGAGTGACCAGAGAAACAAAGAGTGACCAGAGGAAACGAAAGTGACCAGAGGAAAGGGGAGGAGCTCTGTGAATGTGGCCATTTAATGCAGAGAAAGAAGTTACATTTTTGTAGCACGTTGTGTTGAAATGTCTCAAAGTGCATAGCCATCTTGTGAGGGTCCTTGTCAGGTGAGCAACACCTTCACCACTGGAGGATTGTCGGACAGGACACCTGGAGGAAATCTCCCTTCTTAATTCCAAGAGTGCTGAGAGATCATTAACTCCCCCCACAAACAGGCAGCAAGTCCTCAGTTCACACCAGTTCTCACCATTGAGACGTCTCAAAGAGCTTCACAGAATATACTGTAAAGTGAATTGACTGTATACTTGGCCAGAACTCAGCAGGCAATTGCGCACAGCAGTGTCCCACAAACAATCGTGCATTGAGTGACCAAATATTTTTTATATATGGGATTATTAACCCGGAAAGCGATCTGCCAATTGGCTAACAACTGGATTACTACTTACCCGGCTACTCTCGCTTACAAGGCAAGTGCTTTAACCAATAAGCTATAGGACTTTCCTGGTAAATCTGTTACTATTAAATTCTGGTGTGATTTCATACCTGCCCTATGATATCATTCACCAACACCTCCCCCCCCACCCCTGCCGCGAGGTAATGTCATCATGACTCCACTATCATTGAGGTAACTTGGAGCAGAGGTGGGTGGGGTCACAGGTGTGAGGCTGAGACGATAAACACACAAGACTTTCCCATTTGGAATCCCATAACATAGTGGTTAGAGCACTCACTCAGCAAGCGAGAGGATTCAGTTTCAATTCCTGGGCAGGACAAAACCTTAGGCAAGTTTCCTTACTCCACATGCTTGTTTACCTAGCAGTAAGTAGGAACCCGGTTGTTAGTCGTTTCCGGGGACAATAATCCTTCCAAAAAAAAAATTGGGTGACTCAATCCATGACTGCTGTGTGCAATTGGCTGTCGAGTTTCACCACAAAATACACAGTGAATCCACTTTACGATATATCCTGTGAAGCACTTTGAGATATCTCAGGGCGTGAAAAGGTGAAAACGCGTGATCAAATGCAAGGATTATTATTATTATACCCAATCCCAATGGACTAAACCCCTTCCCACACATTCTCATTTCACCATGACCCAACTAATGTCTTCAAGGTTATGGAAATGGAGGGGTTGACAAAACTGATGCATACAGTAAACTCTGGATAACTCATCACTCCAAGGGAAAAGAGCTCAGCAACTAGTTATCTTGAGTGATGAGTTAGGCATAGGTCCTGCTGGGCTACAAGGGGGAACTGCGACTGGTGCGGGCCCTCGTGGGAGGTTGGATACGCATGCTCAGTTGCATCACAAAAGTCTCTATTGGAGAGCCTCCCACCCTATCGCATAGGACTCTGGTCTATTGGAGGTCCACAGGCCATGGTGTGGACCTCCAATATTCCATCATAATAATAATAATCATAATAATCCTTGCGTCTGATATAGCGCTTTATCACATCTTCGAGACGTCTCAAAGCGCTTCACACAATATACTGTAAAGTGAATTGGCTATATTTTGTGGGTGAATTGTGGCAGCCAATTGCACACAGCAGTGTCCCACAAACATTCGTGGATTTAAGTGACCAATTTATTATAATTAGAAATTTTTAAAGGAATTATTACCCCCAGAAAAGCGATCCGCCAATCGACTAACTACCGGATTCCTACTTACTGCTAGGTAAATAGAGGCGCATGGAGTAAGGAAACTTGCCCAACATTTTGCCCTACGGGAATCAAACCCAGGTCTCTTGCTTGCGAGGCGAGTGCTCTAACCACTGAGCTACAGGACTTCACCAGAAGCCTCTGTGATACATCTGAGCATGTGCGTCCAACCACCATTAAGTGTCCGCAACAGTCACTAGGGCTGGAGGCTTCTGTGCTGCGAGACACAATAATAGGCTTAATATTAAGTTATCCGATCAATTTGACATTGTAAGTACTTGCAAGAATTTCTAGAATACGACTAACTACCTATTAAGTGGAATGACGAGTGGAGCGATGTCCATTATTAACATTTTGCAGCCGAGATATTTACAGCACGGCTCCTTAAGTGGTAATGACTAGTTAAGCCAGGGTCAAGTATCCAGAATTTACTGTATATTGAGCACAATATATAGCAGGTCTAATACCAGGTGACATTGGTTAGCAATTAAGAAATTGTGAGTAAATAAAATAAATATTTTTTGCAATTGATACAGTGCCTCAAATGTCAAAATTTCTCATAATGATTCACTGTAACTACCATTAAATGTAGTAACTGGTTTTATAGACAAACACAACAACACAGCATCCAGTTTGTGTACAGTAAGGTCTCACAAACAGCCATGCAGTGAGTGACCAATGCTTAAGAATCTCCAAGCTAAACTGAGAATTCTATGCATCCTGTCTACACATGAAAATCCCAGAGATAGATTGGAATGGAATGTGCACTCTGTCCCGGGCGGGTGGGGGGGGAAAGCATTCTGCTTACCTAATTCTGGA